CAAATTGATGTTTTTTTTTGCGTGACATGACGCTATATAGGTTAGGGGGCGGGGTGGATAAAGCCTTTGCAACCGTGACTTATATTGATGACGTGACGTCATATAGCTTGGGTAGTGATAAAGGCTACGCAACCGTGACTGATATCGACATCACGGATGGCTGATACAGCACGATTGCCATTGGTCGTATTACACATACAATTTACATGTTTTTACCACTAAGTATATGATAAATGTCTATGATACCCATTTGTTGATGAAAATCCTGGATGCAACGGATTTTGGTGTAAGTATATTAAATGACGAGTAGTTTTGTCTTTGAAGTAATCAGGTAATCTTTCTGTACAGAAAATAGTAATGTGAAAAATGTAAGGTTGACGATTAGTATTTAATTAACAACAATTGGTCAGTACTTTAAAATGTACATAATTATATTTTGATATTTATCCACTAGATATGGTAAAGTTATAAAATTTAACATTATTTTTCTTTAAACTTACCAAGATGGGTATTTTTCAAATCTTACTTTACTAGAACAAAATACGCATACAAAGGTAGTTGAAAGATACTAGTGAGGCCACTAATAATTGCGACTTTCATTTGATTCAGATTTTTTCTTAATTCTTTCAGATGATTTATGATAAATATACACATTTTTTCATAATTTCGTGTAATGATTTTCACTCTCTAGCTAACAAAATATGCAAAAAAAAAGTATACAGCAAAGACAGAACCGCAGCATAGAAATTGTTTTTATATTTTTAGACAGGATCAGTTTTACTCAAAATTGTCATAAAAAGGAGGAACAAATCAGTTACATTAAATAAAGTCGAAACACATTTGTCTTTTTTTCTGTTTTAGAATTTAAAACTAGTAAAACTATTTATACGGGTTATTTTTTTCTCGTATATTTTATGATGGTATGATACTAAACCCCTAACTGGAGGGATTGTGCTTGATTTTCATATGATAAAGACATAATCTTTCAATCAGTTTAATTGAGGTCTGTAGCTGGCATGTCGGTAACTGCTAGTAGTCCTTTTTTAATTTATGTTGATCATTGTCATTTTGCTTATTTTCTTCTGTTACTTAATCGAACATCGAACTCGGACTTCTTTTCAACCGAGTTTTACTGTGCGTATTGCTGTGTGTTTTTTTTTTTTATTCTACATTGGCTAGAGGTAAAGGAGGAGGGTTGAGATCTCACAAAACATGTTCAACCCCGCCGCATTTGTTTTGCCTGTCCCAAGTCAGGATTCTCTGGCCTTTGTTAGTCTTGTATGTGTTTTTTTTTAATTTTGGTTCATTAATGTATTTTTGACTTTAGTGTGACGTCCATTTTCGGTGAACTAGTATACATTTATATTTAGGGGCTAGCTGAAGCCCGCCTCTGGGTGCGGGATTTTCTCGCTGTGTTGAAGACTCTTTAGTGGACTTGGGATATTTTCTGTTTTCTGCACTTTGGTCGGGTCGTTGTTTCTTTGACATATTCACCGTTTCCATTCTCAATTTTATAATCATCTCAAAATTGTCCTTTTTTGTGCTTTTGTTTCTCCGTTACTGGTTTTATATAGTTGTATAAATCTATATCCATGTGTCCTATCGAAATCCAAGAATTGTCTAGTATTGGGACATGCACATTAATAAAGGTGGGTTAAGCTAGTACTCATCCTTCCATTGTGAACTTCGATCATTAGAAAAATGAAAGGTACATAGATGAACATACAATAATCAATCAGTTTACAAAATGCACTTAATTCATCAATACCGGTATAAAATACAACAAAATCACAAATACAATTAAACAATAATAAATTATACCGTATTAATGAATGCTCTGAATTACTGAAAGCAAACAAAATGTCCTATTCTGCAGATATGTAAAGTATGTCGTCATTAACGTTTAAATCGGCGATTGTACTTTGGAGTATATGTCATACAGCTAAGACATGAAAGTACAGGAAGATACTATCTTCTGTAATGCCGATGAACATTTGTATAGAATTTCACTACAGAAATAGAATAAAAGACTAGTTTAGTCTTGTATCAAACTAAAACTAAGCAATTGATATATTTCCTAAAAAATCACATTCGCAATCTCTTTCATTAAGTCTATTAATCTGTAAAGAAAGATTTTCCTTTAATTCTTTGGTTTAGTATTACCATAAACTTCAAATGTGAAATACCACTTTTAATTATATAACTGCATGTAAAATCATTCTTCCGAATAAGTCCCTTAGTCGTGCTAATATTAATCTTGAATGTTCATCCTGGTCCCTGTTGCTTTACATTTATGAATATCACAAAAATTGAGTTGTATAAGAAACATTGTAGTCAAATAACACTGTGAGTTTGTTTTTCTTTTCTGCATAATATATATATTAAGGGTGCAAACCCCTTTTGCTATTAGCTTTTATATGTTGTATTTTCACCTTTACCTTCTTAAAAGTGGGTTCCTTGGGTAAAATTTCGTCAGTTTAGTCAGACAATTTGAAATCATTTAGTGAGAAAATGTCCTCTAAAAAGCTACATGTATTGTTGAAGTTATATATTGTTATAGTGTTGTTTCGTTGGGTTCTTAAGTTTAGGTTCCCATCAGTTTTGGAACAATCTGCTATAAAGAGTGAACAATTTGCTTCCACGGAATACTTTAATTTAACGATGTGTTTATTCATTAAAAGAAACATTAGTACAAAAAATAATGAAAATAATGTTGGTCTTTTGAATGTCCATTTCGTATATTTATTGAGTTTTATAAATGATCAAGGAAAAATAACGCTTGCAAATATCATATTGAAATTAAGATTTATTTTAAAAGAAGAGAAATAAAAAAAAAGTGCGAATGGTAAAGTTAATTGGACTTAAAGGAAACAGCTTATCAATGATTCTCAAATATTTTGCTGTCCTGATCACGAGAACCACATCGGTAGTCAAAGCTGAAGTCAGTCAAAAACTTATAATGTCTAATAGTTCGACCATTACTAGGTGCTGTTAGTCGCCGGACGAAGCTAACGACCGCGAGAGCCGCAGCACAGCTGAGGCAGTCCACGCGACGGTTAAGACAAATCGATATCTATAAGGTTATATTTTTGTGTTTTGGTGGATCCATGCAAATGAATTGAATACAAAAATTGATACGCAATTGCAACTTTAAGTCATACTCTAAGACATACACTTTTATATTTCCATATTTACTATCTGATGAAATAGTATGACCAAAAGTAGATTTGAAAAATCTTTTGGTCTGTTAGTATGATGAAACACAAACGTGACTAAATATGACGAAAAGCTTTGATATTTGAACTTTGTCAACAAGAGGATTTTAGAAATGTACATTGAAACATTCTGTTCAAATAGAATTGAACTGTTCTCAGTTTACCAAATTAATTAATCTCCTGTTGTTGTTTTTTTTAAGATGGTCAAAATATCGATTTAGCGAGATTTAGTTATACCTCTGTTGATTAGGATTGACACGATGTCCGTGTGATCTTCCATTTTGGTTTATTTTTCAAACAAGGTCCATAATATCCGTGGACGAAGTTTCAGATAATTTCCCGTCACCAAGGTTGTCAACAAGAACAAGGCATGTAATGATTAACTTCAAATGTGCTCCATTTTCCCTTTTCAAAATTAATTAATGTTCTAAAGTACGGGAAGAGTCGTTATTATCAATTAGTCATTTTGTTATATATTCCTTTGTAGATAGTTTCAACACGTCGCGTTCTTTGCCGTTGGAAGAGGTCATGTGATCCTTTGTACGCGTACACATAGCTCGTTCATATTCTCAAAAATTCTGAGCCGTATGAGACTATTTTAGTGGTTTTTTACAAAAGGATTTTTTATAAGAAGATATCTTTCCGTTTAGCATGATTCGTAATTTTCATGGATTGATTTTTAAAATTGTTGATCTCTTTGGTGCTTGTAAACATCATGCGATGCTTTGTGAATCATTTTCAGGTTCTGCACCCCCTAGTACTGATTAATCGGCTACTTATGAATGTTTCCCTCTTTTCTAAGACAAAAAGTAAAGTCTGTTTACTTTTTGCAATGGTTGTAAACAATAGTCGTTCATTACCCATTACATGTATATGTTTCGACTGTAGACCTGGCCTATACTTCGTCATCTTAGTTCTGCAAATAATATAAACAGCTAAGAAATTTCGTGCGTCTAAGGCTCTTTTCTGGATTAACCTTCGACAGGAACGTTCACACTTAGAAAGCCAAGGGTGTTTAAGAAAATGAATAAGTGAAGAGCTATCTGACAAAAAAAGGTCCTAAACAAGTAGAAATTGTGGAGAAAATCACATGTTTGCCCTACACAAAGATTATGTATTAATATGGGCTAACAATTCCCATACACATTGTGGTTTGTGGGCTGTAAGTTTGTGAAAGTACCACTCACTCAGTATCTTCAGTGTCAGTACTAGCACTATTCAAATAATGCAGTCGTTTTGTAAATATTAAATTTGAAACATCTGTAATTCTATGAAAACTAGGGTTTGTAACTCTGAAATAGTTATCGTATGGCATATAACTACCACCTGGTCGGTACTGCTGGTAGTTGAATATCAGTCTCAATGAGTATTATCCGCCTGATAAACAGTGTTTGGTTATGGATGATGTCTTTGGTATTTGATGACTATTGCTGTGTGCTTTGAAATCTTCGTCACTTACTACGATATGTTAGGTACCACTGTTGATTGATCCTCTGGTATCATCTGTCTAATTGTCAGTGGTTCAGTAATACACGATGCATTGTGAGTCAAAAAAATATTTAAATTAAAATTAATTCATAGTACTTTAGTTACAGCTCCAACTCCTAGCCATATTAACAGAAGATTCTGTTGACTGTACTCTTTAGACTTATATGGAGTGGTGGTAAAATTGTCTATTTATTTGGCTTGGAAAAGTTGAAGTCTCGAAAAAAAACACTACCATGTTCTTTTTATATTTTTTTTCAAAATTTAGTATAACATCTATTTCGAATTGGATACATTTAAAAAGACAGGGTTTATCGGTATGTTTAAAAAAGATATTAAAGATATTAATTCGAAAAAGTAAGTGCTTTAATCATGAATCCAAGTCTGTCCTACTTATTGATGACTCTGTCGTTGTTTTCTTTTCCGCTTTCAACCAGTAAGTGGTCATTACTCCTTTACCCTACAATGCATCTTGCACATTTTAGCAACTTCACATTACACCAAGAGAAATCACAAAACTGATTGCTTTATTCAATTATTGACGATACAACAACAACAACAAAAAAACAAATGAAATAATTATATCATGTATAGGTAATTTTCATTTCCTAACCTTTTTAATTTCCCCATTATAAATATATCTAAAACATGATTTAGCTAGATAACAATGAATTATGTTACAATATGATTTCCAGAATTGTTATTACTGAATGTTAATGATTTCTATTGATATACTTTGGTAGCCTATACATAAAGTATTTTCTATATATAGTTAATAAATAATTAATTGAATGTTACCTTAATGTTAATCTGTCCTCTTTCTTCCACATCAAAGCTACCGATACGGTCTAGAATTTCTTTAGTATTGTTACTGATATGTATTTTACATGCTAAAAGAAATAGAGACAGATCAAACCATTTCATTTTTTTACAAACACGATTAGGTGACACATATTGTGTGTTCTTACGACCATCTTAGCATGGTATTACATGTTCTAAATACTTCATATTAAAAGTTTTACACACCCACGAAAGAAAAGTGAATAACCCGTGATAATAAGTAAAAAAGAAATATTAATAAGAGTGGTGACCATACAAAATATTTCCTGTATATGTACACGTTTTACTTTGGGTGACACCAATATTTTTAATGGCTTTCATAGCCACCGCTAGTTGCTAGTATTTATTGCTACTATTTAAATGCCTTGATTTGTAATCAACTTTAAATACAGCTAGTACTAGGTTAAAGAAAAATAATTTTAATTAGAAAAAACACATTTCTACTTTACTACAACATGGTCTCAGTCTGTTTGGAATTTAAACGATTCCATTTTTTTTTTTGCTCCATCTGAACTATTTCTACCTGAACATGTGATATTTTATAAAAAAATTCGGATAGTTACTTCATACAAGACACGTACCGTCACCACTTGATTCCATTCTGGATGCAACATTTACTGTGTCGCCAAACAAACAGTATCGAGGCATCTTCAATCCAACAACTCCAGCAACACATGGACCTTCAGTATAATATTACATGTTTTATAACATTTGTTGAAAAGTTTTATTAGTTTAAGTGTTAAAATGTTAATTTCATAATAGTTCATTTTCGAAGATGAATGCACAGGAGGATAAATCAAAATCATAATAAGAAGTTGTTGCCATGAATTAACAATTTCTCACTGAAAGTGTTATATCTATAGGCTATGGTATTAGCAAAGTGGGCTCTGTTTACAATTGTCGTATTTTGACTGAGTGTGGATTTGATTGGTTGGTAATGTATACAGAGCAAGAAAGACTTACTCTGTCGATGCATCACCTGTGCCCGATCTTATTGAAGTTTCCTCGGCTTTTTACTTTTATTAGTATCTTTTTTTTACTGATTTATGAGATTTTAACATAAGTAAACTATTGTTGCCTTGTATCGACTAGTGCAAATCTTATTTTATTTAGATTTTACCTGTGTGAATTCCAATTCTTAACCGGAGTTTTTGGTCAGGACGATGTCGTATTACGAAGTTTTGGATTTGCTGGAGCAATTTTAAAGACAGTTTGCATATTGCCGCTGCATGATCACTTCCATTTCTGATAGGGAGTCCTGAAACTACCATATATGCATCTCCTATCGTTTCAACCTTTAAGACAAATAACATCAATATCGTTTATTAAAGGCAAGTGATAAATTCTGATTAATTAAAAGCAATTACATGCTTCAAGAACACCAGCAGTTAGAGCTATGACCATGTAAATACGAGACAGACAGCTGAAACATGCAAACGTCATTCGTCCTCTGGTGGAAAGTTGTTCCATTGCCCATTTAAAAGTATCTTATTATTTTGATATAGTAAATAACGTTTAATCCGTATGCAACATTCTTCTGCTGGTTTCAAATGGATTTAGAACAACCTAATGTTGAAGTGTGATATTTAACAATGTGTGAGTTTTGATTGTAATGCAAACAAACAAAGCGATTTAACCAGCGGAACATTGTTAAACATACCATTTGAAAAGAAAGCCGTCAAAGTTGACAAAAAACATAATTTGTGAAGTACGCAAAGTGGGTAGACCGTAGAGATTGGAGGGCGGGAGACGTTGGATTCTCCTGTCGAAAGAATATATGTTTGATAGGCACAAAAATGATATCTTGCAACATGCCCACTTTGGACCTTTCAATGGTTTGTTAGATATATTCTGTAACGACAGAGAGTGTGGTACTCTCCCTACATAGGGGGTTATACAGTTTTTACACTTGTGGAATTATTTATTTATACAGGCTGACACAGGAGATCTAAATGATCGCACACAATTGCAATACAAATAACAAGATATCCAAGCTAATGGATGCACTGTATTCGAATTCAAATTTAAATATTTGAAACAAATATCGTATCCAACTCAAGGACATAGAACTAAACCATCATACCACTCACTTATACTAAGTAAATACTAGTAGACAAAATTACCTTGTTTTTTATCCATATTTCTTTTCAAGTTTTTAATGAATATGTAAAAGCTAACTAACAATGAAACAAAACATAATAAAAGAACAGCATAATATAATGTTATTATAACACTTTTTATATTATATTAGTTCTTTCAGTTTTATGAAACACTGGGGTCCATTCTGCTTCTGTGCAGGTTTCTTACCTTATATACGTCAAATGTTTCTATAATGCTGTCAAAATTTGAATATAAGTCATTGAGTAGAGATATTACCTACAATAGATTTAAAGAAATATACAGCAAGATAGAAATTGCTACAATCTTTGAGCATAAAACGTTTGATAGCATATAACAAGTACATGAAGTATATAAAAGTAGGTATCGGGTATCATTTAATATAACATTAACAACCAAAACATACAAAAACACCATCTCGAGTTCAACATCCGGTCTTCAACTATTAAACTACTGTCTTTATCTTATGTATGATTTTAAATCGCAACGTGTCTATAAAAGTTGTGAACAAAAAACACCAAACACCACCTATTTACACAGCTTTGAAGGAACAATTTTTTGACCTGTTAACGGTTATAATTTGTCCTTAACATTGATCAGTTGACCTATATTGAAGACGCTACTACAGGTAATCTGCTAGATTATAAATTTAGAAAAGGAAAAGGATATTTCTCTGTCGTTAGATTGCCGTCTTATTGACGTATACTTAATAACTCCTATTATAAAAATATGATACAAAACAAAATGCGTTTAACATATTTTTCACAGTATTTTCACTTGGTAACTTGTAATCAACTGTTACAAATGGACTTCTTGATTTTTTTTTAATTTTACTGCATATATGGAATATTACGGATATCAATGTTTAATTTTCGTTTTAATTAGAATTGAAAAAAATGTTGTAATTCATCTGATTTTGGAATTTTGATATCTATCAATTCTAAAAAATACCTTTGTTTTAGTCTTTTTATTCATTTTTCCTCTTTTTTGCATTTTGATGATTTTCTAAAATTGTCCTAAATTTCAAAAGTTAACAGTATCAAATGCTAATCCTTAAATCTCACTAGCGATTTTTTTTATTGTTAATCAAGTGAAATTGGTTGTTAAAAATCCTATCGGTGAAAAACAGTGTTTTTGTTTAATACAAATTTAAGGCGCTCTTTCCTCTTTCCTCTTTTAAATGTCCAATTTGAGTTTTGTCTATTGTGATAATATTATCTGGCCAGAAGACATGAACTATCAAATTAGTATGATAAGAACAGGTATTTTATGTATGTATTAAACCAATATTTTCACAGATTTGTTGATAATTTCAAAATTGCTCACTTCGATGTTAATATTTTTCTTAGTTGTTGCTTATAAGAGAGTTTACTTTTGTAATAAACTGGTGTACATTTTCTCGTAAACTATTCTGAAATATCTTTTTTCAAAAGTGGGAAACAAATTAGTTGTTTGTCTGTAAGACGAAGAAATATCCTGGACATAATTAAGTTCGTATCATTTTCCATATGATATCCCAGACATAAATTGTAAATTGATAACCAAGGTTGTGACTAGTTTGATTATTTAATTGAAACAGTAAACCTACTTTAATAATTAAAGTTTTGTTTGATCAAACATTTAATCATAAAACTCTTTTGAATAAAATGGAATGGTCCTTCACATAAAATTATAAAACGATTTGATTGGACAAATGAATCCAACGAAACGTAACACATAATATAATTAACATAGTATATTACTTTAAACCACGTATTTTAGATTAACCAAAAAGGTTCCCTACAATTTTGCTTAAGTGTCACCCATGTAACGTTGCCAATCTATAATATGGTGATAGTGTCATGTTACTAAATAAATCAAAAATCACAGGTCGGGCATTTTATAGCTGACTAATATGGTATGGATGTTCATTGTTGAAGGCCGTACAGTGACATATCATTGCTTATATCCACGTCATTTGGACTCTGGTGGATAGTGTTTTCAGTAGCAATCACACCTTCTATATTTACTTTTCATTTGGGGTTATATTTTTATTTCAAGGTTGCCATTATTTGGTATTTTTATATTTGTTAAATTTACATTTGTCTCTCTTGCGCCATAATTGTGTTCTTTGTTTCAGTTGGTTTGCCTTTCAACAGTTTGTGTCCACTACATTGTCTGATTAACTTCCTTTAGAGCACGCACACTTTTATATTAATTGCTTTGTCAGGGCTATATGCAACATAAAATTACGATAACGTGAAAAAATTTATCGCCGTCAAGTTAACAATCGAAATCAAGCGAGAGCTTCGTATGCAACAGAACATTATTTCTCTACTTGATTAAAATTCTTTATAACTATCTTTTCCCTTCCCGAATTTCACCTCCAGATAATACGACTCGTGTTGCTGGTCGCATGTCGCATAAGAGATGACTACCTATTGGGGGCACCTGGTTTTGGTAGTTTTTGTCAATACATATTTGTGTTGCTTGTGATTTGTCTTGTTCGTGTATTGTAAACTGATTTTTAACCCACGGTACTGCTTCGTATGGTTTATGTTTGCCTCCTTGTTATCTACTGTCCAGTATTCATTATTTTCATTATTTTCTTATAATCATGATTTATTCTGTATCTTCTAATTGCTTAATTATATAATAAAAACCTCCATTGGGGAACTACTGCCTGACAATTCTGTAAAGCCCACTATATCACTAAAATATATTGTTACACAGTCAAACCATTCTGGTGTTACAAATTTTCCTAGCCTTAGCTCAATAGCAACTGACCTGAAATGTAAGGATTAAATCGAAGTCGAACGCTTTTTCTTATTGTGTTTCATAAGCTTACATCATCAAGTAAAATAAACGACCGGGATAAAAATGTATACTGTTCCTTAAACGTTCTTTTAGTTGTAAATATGTATTTACTTGAAAACCATACGGCTATAGCTACCTTCAAATGCGATTTTACAACATGTGGGGTTCTTTTTATTTTTTTCTTCCGGTGTTTCGGAAGACTTGTGAACAGTATCTTTCATCATCAAGTATTAAACACGGCAATGAATTTTTTGTCCTCAATGCTCTCAACTTCACACTTGATTTTGTCTTTTTAACTTTGTCGATTCGAGCATCACCGATGAGTCTTTTGTAGACTATACTGGCGTACAGAATTATAGCCTGGTATCATTGGTGAGCTTTTGTACTTGCATAGAATACTTTTTTATCTATTTTTAATAGCGATTTTTAGCAAGTGATGTTAACTTTTTTCGGGAAACACATGACATAAACACAAATGTAGATGAGAATCCTTACAAACTCAATCTGTTGTTTGCAAGGTTTCTTTTGGTTTTATTTGTGTTTTTGTTTTTATTTTGCTGGGGTTTTTTTTCTTCTTTTAGTTGTTAGTGTCAATGACAAGAAGATGACAAACTTGTTAAATATCATAGGAACAATATACAAATAATAGAAAAACATATGGATATGGGGTATCCATCAATGAAACAAAATCAGTACATGTACAGCAAAAAACACACAAAAGCAAGGGAACAACGCTTGTATAACTGTACTTCATCTTAAAGTGAGGCCTTCAACACGGATCAATAAAGTTCTCACCTCATTGCAATTTTAAGCAGCACCATGCTTCAATAATATTGCGAAAATCGCATAAACCAGGAAGTCTGCATATTGCAAAGATTTGTTTTATTTTTACTGGTAGTTGATCACTTTTGTATAATCGTATCAAAGTTTCAATTTCTTAGCAAACAGACTTAGATTGACCATTCTTTTTATACCTTTATTGCTTTTATTATACCAATGTTTATAATTTTATTTAATTTCGATTCTAAACTGGATTGACACAACCGATAATGTAGCATGTTATCAATTGTCATAAAAATTCATAATATCCAATAAAATAAGTAAATTGGCTAACTAAGTCTTTATAATTGAATAGAGTAACATTTATTCCAGTGAAAAATTGTTTTAACGTTAATTAATTAAGCTCCATTTAAAATTTTTATGCTAGCCCCACTTTGTGGTTGATGTAAAAAAACTCTGGTTAATTTTCCCAACATTTTTTCATTATGGGGAGATAATCTTATTCGGTTTTCATAAATAGTCCTTATCAAAATAGTTCAAACGCTTTATGTCGGTTTCAATCATGATTTCTCACTAAAGCATTTGACATAAATTTGAAGTTTCTGAAATAAAGAGGTGGTTATGGTGTTCTGTTTATGTGTTTGTGCGTATGTGTATCTTGTGTGTGATTTTGTTGGGGTTGGGAGTGTTACTCAGCATACATGTATTTGTCTTTAGGGAATCCAGTAATGCAAATAAATCAAGACAACATGTCTGCCTTATTTGAATTATGACATCAGTATATATATACACCATAATAAAACAATAAAGGTATGCATTAACAAGTAGCAGGATCAATGCTGTTGGAGATTAGATGATGCGGACAACAACTTAAAACAGTGTTCTTGATAGCAGAATTACTACAGATGTCAAATGAACATGTGTTATTCAACTATAATTAAAGGTAGACATAATACTATATATATAATGCATTACCATGACACAGCTTAAAAAATAAACAATTCCATGATTAGTTTGAGTTAATTGTACAATTTGTACTCTCACACAAACTGAGTAACTTAAATCGTAACTAAATATCTATCAAATAAATGAAAGGTTCTTTATATTGGTATACGATAATTTTAAACGTTTCAAAACAAATAAATAAATGTATACATATACATAAATGTCTTCAATAAACTAATAATAAATACTAAAATCTATTAAATTTGTAAATTTTGTAATGGTTTAAAAGTAAATCAAATTATGAACCTGTTCAATTGAGGCAATACACGCATAGACTTGTTGGAAATGAAACATAGTACAAGGGGGTATCACTCTTGCATACAAATGACACATCAAAAGAATAAAATAACACAACATTCGTGCTCCAGCTTCTATGAAGATTCTAAATTATCAATGTAACCAACAGTTGTTAATCTATAGGATAGCTTTTATTTTTTATAACTACTCAGAAAAATGCAACAACGACTTGACTTTAGAAAGATAACGTGTTTACACATTAATATAATATAGTCAATAAACATTATTTTCCTCTACCAGTATAAGACACAATACAGATCGTATGCTTGCATCAACATACCCAAATAAAGATTTAATTTAAGCCAGAACATTTTGAAATTGTTTATTTTTTTTTTATTATCACAACTTCCTGTTAAGATTCGACTAAATACTAATATTCCGATATCATCCGATATCATCAGGTAGAATCCCTCCCTTAAAGATGGATACTCATCTATATCAAATTTACAAGGTAGACAATCAGTCGGCACAGAAGGTTCATTATATGTCGTTAAGATAATTTCAAATTGAATACATATTCTACTGCATATAGAGAAACACAAAACGCAAAACTTTAGCAAGATTATTTGCCCTAAAATTTGTGTGCCATTTTGCATGGTACACGGTAGTCTTAGGTATGCAGAATCAATTCAAATCATAAAATTTATATAATCCTTATATAAATTCTATAAATACACTTACTGGGGTAATATTTGGTATAATAGTTCATCTGAGCGTTTTTTCTCTGCAGCAAGTTGATGTGTTCTCTCCTCTACTATATCCTCTAAGTTCAACGTATATCTTTCCATTCGCCGTAATAAGGAATCAATTAAATCATCTTCTGAACCACTGAAATATTTTAAATTATGAATGCAACTACAACTATATGATTTAAAAATAAAGAAATTTTATGTAAAATAAGGGTATTTTCCCAACTAATATGGTAAGAAAATCACAGAAGGAAACTTAATCAAAAACATTTTAAAAACAGAACATAATGTTTATACATGTTATATCAAAGGAAAGAAAAGCACAAAACAAGCATATATCAATCAATGAAAGATCATGATTGAATATTTCAAGTTCATGATCAATAATTTTATTAAAATTTGATTTTTATAAAAACTATGAATTACAATTTCTTCCGTTATCAAATGATATGACACGCCGATGCTCAAGTAAAAATGAAGCGTTAAAATAATAATATGATATTGTATAATACAGATTAATTCCAAGTATATATGCTGCAGGAGGACTTCTGAGACTGACAAATACTGTAAAGGAAACATTATAATTGCATTTGCCTTTCCGATTTACCTTGACAAATATCATCTTTACCGCTTTCATATAACGAAGTCACATTTACGTGTGTGTTAGCGAATACGTGTGTGGATACGCTTATTTAAAAAATAAATCAAAACATTTGAATCCGTTAGCAAAAGCTTTTTGGTAAAATGACAGTCATAGACTGAAATAAACTAGAAATACTGTTAGGAAAGCTCACAAAATGAAAATCGCACCAGAACAAAGATACGGACAAAGTTCATGATTTGCTAAAGAAAACCCCAAAACAATAAGATAATTTAACAATACCAAATAGCTAGTTCACATTGGCATTGACATAATCAGCATTGTATAGGATTTAAGAAAGTTTCAATAAAGTTTGATAATATATTATGCAGAAGATACTGATACAAAATTGGTGGAGCCCTCGCGAACAAAACAATGGCTAAGAGAAAGCCAAAAATAGTATTGGTGAAAATTGAAATAGGAGATACAGAATTGAATTAACTAAAATCTGATAAGTGGTTTAGGAAACGAAACGGATACAAATGTGAAATGTATTGTAGATATGATACAGCCCATGTCATGTTAATGTAAACCCCGAAAATTATTAGGATCAAGATATGGAATTGAAACTGCATCATGTTCATCATGTGAGTAAGATTCTGTGAAAGTTTCACAAAATTCTGTCAAACGGTTCAGAAGCAGATAGGGATACAAAAAAGGAACGGAAGAATAAATGGACGGAAGAACTAACGGACTCCTGTATCACTATTCACCCACCGCTTCAGAGATTGGGGATTTTTGTTTCCCTTGGATTGCAAGTAATAAGCAAAAATGATGATGTCAAACGGATCATTCCCTCATTCTATTGAGAAATCAAAACGGATTCATCAAGCAAAACAAAATTAATTGCATGGAAATGTCTACATTGTACTTATGACGAGGGTGACAAAAGTATTTTAAGACCAAAACTTAAATATGTGTGTATGTCTCGACTTATGTTTCAATTACTACGTCAATGAATCTTATGAATCTGATGAATCTTAAGTGTTTCAAGCAACATAATTCATATATACTTTGCTTACCCCGTCTGTTTTCGGATCTGTTTTAAAACAGCAGAAAATTCTGGTCTGTTTTCAGGATCTTCTGTCCAACACATCACCATCAGTTTATGTAAACTGATCGGACAATCATCTGACGCAAAGTTAGGTCTATAAGGTGGTTTTTCTTTTGACGCAACTCGTGCGATTATATCTGAAAACATTACCTTTCTCTGTTTAAGAATTAAACGAAAGTCTAAAATTAATGAATAAATAATTCTTAATGAACTCACTATATATATTTAATCACTATACAGATCTGCAAATATTCAGCATTAACCAATTTATCACAAAATGCTCATAATTGTTTTTTGTCCAAAATAAAAATTCATCCGGAGAAAGATAAATGTAATATTTAAGCATACCAACTGTATCTATCACTTCATTACAACAATTGTACGGTGGTGATCTAGTTATGACCTCTTGCATTAAAATCCCAAAACTGTAAACATCCCCTTTTCTACTACCATCAATTAAAGACGGATACCGTAGGTGTTCTGGTGCTACCCAAAGTTCTGAAAATAAAAACTGACACCTGTCATGTTACTGTAAACTGAGTGTGAGACTTCAACTGCCGATAATATAATTCTGGGTTTTTTTTCTATTTCGTTCTGGGTGGTTTCACTTGGAATTTAAACTCTTGTAAAGCATTATGTATATTAATAAAGCAATATTACAAGTATGGGATTTTTTGTCGTTATCTCTGCATATCTACGTTTACTTTCATCAGGAAAATCAAATGCATGGCTAATGAATTATGTCTTAACACTCAGGGAGCAGTTTTGCTATAAAGGATTCAACGTAACACCTAAAACAAATGAGGTCAACATTTCATGAGAATGTTTCTACCCTAATTTTTCTAAACTTTACAAAATTTTACAGCTCATAATTTATCTAAATAAAAGATAGATAATCTTCAACACTGAAAAAAATTACAACTAAATCAATGATACCCCTAGAGGCTGACATTTACAAGTATCTGTACACATATCAAATAGTCCGTTTCTATGTATGTTGGCGTTTGTTTTTGTAGCAGTTCAGTGTTTCTGTTGTTCCGTTGTTTTCCTCTTATAGCTGATGTGTTTCCCTCGGTTTTGGTTTGTGACCCAAATTTTTTTTTCTCGCTTAATCGATTTATGACTATTGAACAGCGGTATACTACTGTTGCCTTTATTTTGTATGTGTACTCTTTTAGTCCTATACATTCTGGATTCTTATCCCAGTAATAGTTTTATACCTTTAATGTGTAGTACATTATAGGTTCAAAAAGTTTTTCGTACCAGTCCAGTACTTTTAAATTATTATACCTTCAATAAAATTTCTTACGAAATATAGTAAAAAAAGAAGCACTATCTGTTAATTGTACCTTCATAATATTACACTGCGGAAGTACAAAACTGGTTTTGATATGTAGTACAATCAAATATTGTACAATTATGGTGCTAAAATAGTACAATAGTTATGTAGTACTATATCACTTTTACATGAATTAGGTACATGCTCAGTACTGTAAAGTTATCCCCATACAAACTTTTGTAGTTTAGAAGCTATAAAAGATCCCGGGGTTAAATGATGTGAAACAATTAAAAAAAAATAACGATTATTTACAAATACAACAATAAACGAGAAGTTATAAGGGCAGACATCAACCAGCAATAAACTCTACATCCCTCGCTTACAAAATCCACATTATGATTCAGGTGGGCTTAAACATGTTCTTGGGCGCTCAAAGCTCCTCCTAACCCAAACAGCTGCATACTAGGCATATTTGCCTAAAGTGTATATGTTAACAATCTTTTGTTCCTCTTTACATAAGATAATCAAGAAACAATATCATTGTAAACAGGACTATAAAATAAAAGTTCAGTTTGCAACAAAAAGATCATGCCTTTTGTTCCGTCTAATATAGAAATGATAGTATTTCATCCACTAAGAATATTAGTCCTGAATATTTTTATATATCCCTTTTAAATCTAAAATTATATAACATTCATTTTCTTGTAAACTAGGCTGAGAATCCATATTACTAGGCAAAATGTAATGATGCATACAATACCACCTCAGGCAAAATTTACCTTACATGAATTTGTCTATTCTTTTTATGTCTCTTTTTGGTCTTATAGCTCATTACGTTTCTGCGTATTAATACATCACTGCCTTTGAAATTATTCAATCAATTGAACATTTTATTAAATATTTATAAATGGGTCAAATAAGTTTAACCCTTTAACAGGTTATATTCAACGTTACAGTTTTTAAATAATGTATACAAAGAACTTGATGGTTATGTCCTCTTTTTTATCATTGTTTATTCTTTATTGACTTAAATGTTCGACAATATTAACAAGCAGTACGTACTTTGATACATCTTTCGAGACTTTTCGCTTTCCACAATACTATCATCACTAAACGATTGGAGTCCAAAGTCCGATATCTTCACTACAAATCTTCCATCAACAACACAATTGGAAGAACGTAAAGATCCATGACATTTCAATGCTGAACTGTGTAAATACTTCATTCCCTTAAAGAAAGTTGCTTTAAATTACTCAAGCTCAACTACTTATATGTTCATATACTTCTTTGAAAAATCGAAGCGAAATACTATTCTTTTGTCGATATACTCTAGAAAATCTAAAGTATTACATTGTTAATATGTAAATATAGATACCTTCAGATTAACATTTCCAGAGAAAACTGATTAATAAGTCTTCTTACATTTAAAGGATTTTTCTGGAAAGATTCCTATGGCAGTATCTTTAACTATTTTGATGTTGATTTCTTTGTAGTGAAATATTTTCATTATTAATACTATTATGTTTCGCTGTTACACCACAGTTCCAGATAAGGGTACGGCTAAGCGCTCACAAACATGTTTTACCTCACCATATGTTTTGTGCCAATCCAAAATCAGGCGCCCGTAACACATTGAGTGTCATTGGTTGCTGTTTGCCATATTTTTTCGTTTATTGTTTAGCATAAATCAGGACGTCGGTTTTCTCTTTTGTTTAACATTTTGTCATGTCGTGGCGTTTTATAAATTACTATATGGTATAGGTTTTGTTCATTGTTGAAGGCCGTTTAGTGACCTATAGTTGTTTACACTCTCGTCTTTTTTAATCTCTGGTGGATGATTGTTTCATTAGCAATCATACCACATTTGAATTTTTTCATTCTATTTTTTATAAATGGAAAAAGAGGAATAATTCAAATCTAAAAACTGATTATTTTAAAATGTCTTACCTTAGCAATGTCTTTCAGCAAAGATAACCTAAATGTCCAATCTAATTTAATAGCATCATTACAAAGTAAATCCTAAAAAAAAAAGACAGAAAATGCTTGTAATAATTTCCAAAACTTTGTTTTCTATGTGTTGACGTGATAGATACATTTCATTTGTTATGATAAATTCGATAGTAAAAATCCATTACAGCAGGTATCGGCTCAAACAATTTGAGTGGCTTTGAATTTCACAAACCTGTAAGTTTTCTATAATTTCACATTTATTGTTTGTCAAATATTATGCGGATGGACTGTCGTTTTTGCAGAGGTTTGTGAAAACAGAGGGGGTTCTCCGTCCAGCCCGTTCTTGCACGTAGGAAGGATATTTTGACGTTTATGCTATCATAGGATCCTCGATATGCTTTTCAGTTCATTGGCTATCGGGTTGTTTGTCTCCCTGGAACTGGCAAAACGTTTTTAAATTGTATTGTTAGTTTTCAACGCCAGTGGTCCGCGTTTTTAGATATACATTTATTGTTTGTCCTTTACTATGTTTTAAGTGGCTTTAAATTTTGGGTCACTTTAGTTTTCTCTGTACTGTGTTGTGTACTGTGTTGTGGACTATTTGTTGTTGTTTGTGGTGTTTTGACCATGTTGTATGTTTTATTTCTACCTATAGTTTTTGATTGTCCTCTTTTTAAATGTTGAAAACAACAACCTTTTTCGAATTCGTATTGATATTACTACTTTTTATTTCCATCTAGACGATAACTTCAGTTATATATCTAAGTGATGAATAGCAATGCTTGAGTTTCAAAAGAAAAAATAATACGATATAGCTATTACCTCTAATGTTCCTTTCCGACAATATTCGTACAAGATTAAAATACGAGACTGTTCAACACATGCACCAACAAATCTTGACAGATTTTCATGATGTAAACTTCTAACCTAAGAAGTCAATTACAAAATAATTAAAATATACTTTTAAAGGCTAAAATGGCTGTAACATAAAATAACAAATAACAATTTAATTTACTTAACATTACCTGATTGATAAAATGAATATCATATTTAAGCTGCAGGTTAAGTATGGAATTTTTTTTACTTTAATTTGCAATTCACGTAAATTAAAAACAGTTCTCACACCTTTGTTGATTTCCTTTGCGTGTCATTTAAAGATAGGAATTCAGAAATTCGACTCCTGGGATTTAATTATGTGTGTGTTTGGTTCAATGTTACAGTCGACATAAAACACTCCAATCGAAATATTCTTTCAAAATATGAAGAATCCTACGGACATTTCTGATATATCAATGAAAATTATAATATTTTGAAATAACCCTTACATATGATCATTAAATACAATAAAACCGCACATTAAAACAAAAAAAAACCTGAACAACAAACAAAAAACTTGCCTGTTGTATTTCAATCAGTACTTTTCTTGTAACATTAATCTTCCGCTTCTTTACCTTTCTAACATAAACAACTTTACCCTAAAACAAAGTAAAATATAATCTCTAATAAATTTGGTATCGGTAGTGATTCCATCAAATTTTCAAATATAGTAAATTACAGAGTTTCCAAGTGGCAGATTGCATTGTTCATATTTTAGATCAAAACAGCAAACTTTTATCATTCTCATCGTAACATGTTTTAAATAGCACATTATCAGAGTCTTTGTAAAGGATCTAAATCCCATTAGTTCAAGAACTCTAAGTTCTATTCTGAAGTTTCCCATTATGCTAAATGAGTTGGACTTTAATGCATATTGAATTGGGATATATTGTATACGCAAAGGAATGAAAGTTGTCTTTCTTCCTTCATAAAAACTGGTAATAAAATATGGAATCCGTTTTCGAGTTTATAAATTTCGTATACATGGCATGGTACGTGCGATATCTATAATGTTCTGGTAGATACGTCCGGACATCGACTTAAGTAATACTTTACTTGCATTTATTCGACATATATCATTTAATCCATTTGCAATGGACGATGGAACAAATTTCATATTTGAGTTATTTTTTAGTTTTGATTTTCTAGTAAAAGGGAAATAATCCAATTAGTTATATCACCCATTACAAACAAATGTATCAAACATACGATAAAATATAAATAGCTGTCTTGCTTATCATATTTTCCATTTAAACTTTTTCCTACCAATTATAGTTTTAGGAACAATATCTAGGCAAAAACGATAAAATAGTAATTAAAACCTTCATTAAGGGTAATAACTCCTATAAGGAAACTTTGTGTAAATGGACAGTATATCTAGCTTCACAAAAATGCAGAAAACTATCATTAAAGGGATACAATTCCATAATGAGTCCACTGCTATTAAAGTCCGTCTCTTTCTATTATAGTTTTAAAATGATAGGGAAAATCACAAAACCGTTTGGTAAAAATCTTCATTTAATAGTAATACTGTGAGGAGTATACTGACATTTTTTGTCCATTGAACTTATTTGTAGGTCTTGTGTTGCTGATCATATTTTCGATTTTAAGTTTCTCTTTATCTATTATAGTTTGCAAGATAAAGAGAAAAAGTGATAAGATATTAGTAAAAATCACCATTTAAGGGTAATAACTCTTATAAGGAGTCGTCTGACAATTTCTGTGGGAACATATACAGTAAGAAAGTCCTTACTATTTGAACATGTTTCAGGTGTCAGATTTTCTCCATCTATAATGGTTTTCAAAATGATGGACATGAAGGTTGGCAGGCAGGATCATCGGACAATTTTATAAACTAAATACCCTATGAATAATTTACAAAGTTTTGACCCAATTGGCAAAGTGGTTTCAAGGGAGAAGATTTTTGTAAAAGTTAACGGACGGCGGACGCCAAGTTATGAGAATAACCCACTCGGCACTTTTGAGCCAGTTGAACTTAAAAGGAGAACATGAATTCTTTTATTTCGTCCGCTTGGCATCATAACATATAATGTAAACATTTAAGCGTTTCTTATGGACTTAGACACAATAAAATGAGAGATATGCTTCACAGTGCTGCAACATCAAAAAGGTTCTTACCATATAGTTAGCAACGTTGATAACACCTTTGCCTGTTGGGTGATGTTTCGACGATTTATCAGAAAAATTTGTATTGGCTGTAACCTATCAATTAAAATTTAGAATAACAAAGTAATTCATTAAAATTGATAACCAGCATTATATAATAAGACAGAATCTTAAAACTTGTTGCGTTGGTCCTTGGTTTTCTCTTTTTAATTTATTTAATTTTGTAATTCCGGACCTCGCTTGTATAGCTTACTATACAGTATTGGTATTTTTCAATCTTGAGAGCCTTGCGGTGACCGTTTATGTCCTGTATTGGATGCTGTGTAGGAAAGTTTTCTCATTAGCAATAATACAATATATCCTTATTTTTATATAATACATAGTTATAATGCGATATTTATCAGAAAAAAGTTTGTTTGTTATGTGTATTAATATTCTGTACTAATTAACTCCAGCATTATCAATAGGCAGATTGTAAGATTCTTAGCTTTTAGTACCTGCAAGTATACTTTGATAGGTATTATTTAATTTCTGTTATATGCGTAATTGTGTTTTGTTGTGTATTAATCAGGTACCACTACAAGCATGTTTGTTTTATCTGGTTCATATCATTCGTTCTTGTCGTGCTGACTCTGTACTTATGTATCCCGTCATACTTTGAACGACACAATTATTTTATTTATTAATATTACTTTTACTGTTAAGTCTGTTTTTTGTGATATACATTTGACGTGACTCTGTACTTATGTATCCCGTCATACTTTGAACCACAAAATTATTTTATTTATTAATATTACTTTAAAAGAGGGACGAAAGATACCAGAGGGACCATAGATCGAAAACAAACTGACAACGCCATGGCCAAAAATAAAAAGACAAACAGACAAATAATAGTACAGATGACACAACATAGAAAACTAAAGACTAAGCAACACGAACCCCACCAAAAACTGACTAAGCAACACGAACCCCACCAAAACCTGGGGGTGATCTCAGGTGCTCCGGAAGGGTAAGCAGATCCTGCTCCACATGTGGCACCCGTCGTGTTGCTTATGTTATTACAAATCCGGTAAATAGTCTAATTCGGTAAGACACATTCGTGAAAAGGGAAGGGTATTGTAGTTACGACATAAGGAACATATCCGATATCATCTGTGAAACGGTTATTCCATAACGGTCAACCAACTCTTTAACTGTTAAGTCTTTTTTTTTGTGATATCCATTTTACGTGACTCTGTACTTATGTATCCCGTCATACTTTGAACGACA